GGCCGCAGCGGCCACTGCAGCCTCAACCTGCTGCGCTCCGGTGATCCTTCTGCCTCAGCCTTCCAGGTAGCTGGAACTACAGGCATGTGCTACCACGCCCGACCAATTTTTTTTTATTTATTGTAGAGATGAGTCTCGCCAAGTTGCCCAGGCGAGTCTCAACCCGCAGGCTCAGGCAGTCTGTTCGCCTTGGCCTCCCAAAGTGCTGGGATTACAGGCTGAGCCACCGAGCCCGGCCGGCAAACTTTTTCTTAGCAAGCCAGATAGTAAATATTTTAGGCTTTATACAGCAAAACTACTCAAATAATTTGTTGTATCACGAAAGCAACCATAGACAGTGTATAAAAGAATGGATATGGCTGTGTTCGAATAAAACTACATGCAAAAACAGGGATAATGTACTGATCCTTGGTATAGGAAAATGCTCATGATATATTAACTGGAAAAAACGTCTTACAGAAGTATACATACAGGTATTATTCCAAGTTCCTTAATTTTTCTAGAACATGCCAGGGTCTTTTATCATCTCAGGGTATTGACAGTTGCTGTTTCCTTTCACTCTAGAATGTTCTTCCCCTACATCTCCACATGGCTCATGTGCACTTCAGATCTCTGCTCAGATGTTGTCTCCTTAGAACTTTAATCTAAAGTTGTCTCCTCTCCAGACCTCATCACCTTCTGTCCCTTTTGGCTTTTCAAATAATGTATTACTATCTGAAAGTGTAATCTTTGTTTATTGCTTTATAACTGTCTTACAGATATAAGCTTCATGAGAACAGGAGTAGGGACTTTGTCTTGATTGATGTATTCTTAGTGCTGGAGAAGTATAACAGACACTCAGGGAATATTTTTGTTTGTTTGTTTTGTTTTGTTTTTGAGTTGGAGTCTCACTGTGTCGCCCAGGCTAGGGTGCAATGGCATGCTCATGGCCACCTGCGGGACTCAGGTGATCCTTCTGCTTCAGTCTTCCAAGTAGCTGGACCTACGGTGTGTGCCACCATGCCTGGCCAATTTTTTGATTTATTGTAGAGATGAGGTTGTACCATGTTGCCCAGGCTAGTCTGGAACCCATGAACTTGGGTCATCCTCTCGCCTCTGCCTCCCAAAGTGCTGGGATTACAGGCATGAGCCACTGTGCCCAGCAAATCTTTGGAGAATATTGAATAAAGTAATGAATGCGTGTGTATGTAAAGATGGAAGACAGTCTATACCAAAATTATATCTTTATTAGTAAAGATTACCTGGGCACAATAGGGCTGTGGAGGATTTTTATGTTCTTTTTATTTTTCTAAAATGTTTTTGATGATTACATATATACATATATACATATGTCTATGTATATTATATAATTTCAAATTTTAAATTAAAAATAAGTGGGTTGCTTCTGAGATCCCATCTGGCTATGACAAATGTACGGTCTTCTGACTCATCTTTCCCACATATGTCCTAGGTTTTAATTTCCTGAAGTAATGCATTGATTGTAATATGTTTTGCATCCATGTTTTCTAACAGATAATGATTTAATTTACCCTGTTAACAGTTTATCACCACGCCCTGCCATTTCTACCTCTAAGTATTCCTTGACTCTATCACTCCTCTCTTCCATTTGTACCATCTTAGACCAAGCTACCACCCTCTCTTGCTTAGTCCATGCAGTAGCTTCCAAACAACTTTCCAGACTTTCATCCCTGCCTACCACTCAATCCATTCTCTACACAGCCAGAATAATCCTATAAGGTGAGTAAAATCACATCACTTACTCCTCAAAATCTTTCTGTCGCTGTCAGTATGTGTGGAGTGACCCAAATCCTTAACATGCTCTTGGCTTCCTGCATGATGTGGCCCTTCCTGCCTTTTCCACTGGCCTAATGCCAGTCTTCACTTATTACTCATTGTACTCCAGCAACATAGTCTTTCAGTTTCTTGGAGCCCAGCAAGTGTTCTTCCGTCTTTGGGACTTTAAGTAAACTGTCTTCAAGGAACTCTCCCACACCCACCATCTAGTTTTTACTTAAGCTTCAGCTCAGTTTTCATGATACTTCCTCAAGGAGACCTTTCCTGACCTTCAATCTAAATTAGTTTTTCCTCTTGTACTCTCTCATGACATCTTAGTTATTTTTTATAGTACTTGCTTTTTTTTTCCAACCATTATGTCCCTAATTTCTAGTAAAGTTTCTAGTGCATAGTAAAAAAAATTATCAAATACATTTATCATATTTATTCTTTGTTTATTTATGAATCAGGGACTCACTCTGTCACCCGGACTGGAGTGCAGTGGCACAATCATGACTCACTGCAGCCTTGACCTCTTGGGCTCAAGTGATTCTCCTGCCTCAGCCTGCTAAGTAGCTACAGGCATGTGCTACCATGCCCAGCTAATTTTGTTTTTTTTTTTTTAGAGGTGAGGTCTCACTATATTGCTCAGACTGGCCTCAAACTCCTGAGGTTAAGTGATCCTCTTCCCTCAGCCTCCCAAAGTGCTGGGATTATAGGCGTGAGCCATTGCACCCAGCTATAAATACATTTGTCACCATTTCTTTTCAGAGAGCTTCCATACTTTGAAAGGTTAATACTCTCACAGTTGACCTGAATGTAAAAAATATGAAATCAATCTTTTTTCTTGGTTTAGAGATGGATTTTTATTCTTTGCCTAGCCCAAGTGCTGAACTGGCAGTGAGGGTTGCTACCCACAAGATGGCAGCACCTGCCTGGCTCTTTGGTCTGAATTCCTAGGCTTCAGGGATACATGCCTAGTTAAATAGGATGGTTTTGTGCTGGTAGAAAGATTTGGCAGACTATTGATGCTTAGGTAAGGAAAGAGGAGAACTTGAACATTTTGGAATTATGGAGAGAAGCTTCTGTTTATATTGTTATATACTCCTTATTGCCTCAAGAAATTACAGGGGACATACTGGAGACTGAAAAGGAAAAATTATCAAGATTTGAAGCCAGTAAGATCTGGTTTCGAGTTCCAGATCTACCAACTACAGCTACCAACTCTGTGCCCTTGGGCAAGTTACTTTATTTCTCTGAGCTTTCTTTTTCTTTTCTGTAAAGTAGGGATTGCAATATCTCATAGCAGGTGCTGAATAAATGCTATGGCTCTTCTCGAGTTTTTAGAGACGAGGCTTTCCTCACCAAGGAGCTTCTTTGAAGGGTTTCTACTGGCGAAACTTCAAGATTGAAAATTTAGTGCATGAGCTTAAAGATTGCTCTGTCCTAGCTATATAGGGAGTAGTTGTGCTGGTCTTCTATTTGGCTTCTGAGATTAAAACAAATTAGGAAAGTATCCACTAACCTACCCAAAGAGAACTATGTAGAAGTGTGTATTTCCTCATCTTACCTGCCGCAGTCAGAAACCGTTTGAGTGGATTTTCTGCCCCTTACACTAGTTTAGCTGTATTTTTTCTATGTAGTCCCCTGCAAGTTGGTAGTCAATTACAATAACCTGTGCAACATGTGCTTCCTACTTCCTTCTCCCATGTCCACAAATGGCTTCCCTGGACTGGAGCATTCTTTTCCAAGAAGTCTGGGTGTGATCTGGAATCTTCATCATGGGGCTCTGGAAAGCCACTGCCAGTGAGTTGGCATTGACTGGCTTGTGAAATAAATCCCATTTACTAATCTGTACCTAAAGAATTAGACCAAGTGAAGCAACAAGTCAAGTATCTTCTCTGGTCCTTAAAAAAGGGTAGCCATTTAAAATATTTAAATTCTAGCCGGACTTGGTGGCTCAGCCTGTAATCCCATGCCTTTGGGAGGCTGAGGTGAGTAGATTGCCTGAGCCCACGGGTTTGAGACCTGCCTGGGCAGGTGAGACCTCATCTCTACCATAAATCAAAAAATGAACCGGGCGTGGTAGTGCGCACTTGTAGTTCCAGCTACTCGGAAGGCTGAGGCGGAAGGATCACCGGAGCCCAGCAGGTCGAGGCTGCGGTGGCTGGGAGCGGCCACTGCACTCCAGTCTGGGCGACAGTGAGACTTCAACTCAAAAATAAATAAATAAAATAAAATATTTAAATTCTAATGCATTGGTAGATACCATTGTTAGGAATGGTAGTAATAATATAGAACCTTTAATTAAATCATCTCTCTTTCCAGAGAGTACTATGATACCATACAGTGCTGCACTCGCTAACACTTTCCTCTAGAGAGCTTAGTTCCCTTTAAAGATGATCTATCTTTAAATTCATCTAAGGGTTTTGTAGTACCAAAACACTGAACTTTGCAGGGCCCCCAGAGCATTGCCCCTTAAGACAGGGGTTTTTTATCCCAGGCTCTGATGTACCTTAACTGGTAAAGCATTTCGAAGAGATTACAGGGTTTGAGAAGCCCAAGAACCCCAGATGTGGATGCATATTTATTTATTCAACAAATACATTTTGAGTACCTATTGTGTGTCAGGCACTGAAGTTATATCAGGAGCAGAAACACACAGCCCTCAGGAACTTGTATTCTAGTGAATGAATTTGCAGTGGTAGAGTTTTCCCCAAATACCATACAGAAATATGTGCTTGCATCGATTCCCTGCCCTCCAGTGTGCTTGGTGCTTTAGAATTTGGGTACTGTTTCCTCAGCAGTTTTTTTTGTTTTGTTTTGTTTTTTCATTTTTGGTGTTCTTGTGTTCTCTTTTTATTGACATGAAGAAACTGAGGTTCAGAGAAGTCAATTAACTTTCTCAGGGCTACATGGCAAGTAAGTGACAGAGGTGAGTCTTGAACCTGGATTTTCTGACCTCTGTGGAGGACTCCATTATGCTGCCTGGGTTTATGTTAAGTTCAAAATTTACTTCTTTGACCTTTGAATCATTGGAGCTCCATAGCAGTGGGGTTTTCCAGGAGTTTTATTCACATTCTCTTGTTTGGCATATGTGAACTGATTACCTTATCTGAACTCTGGGCCATGCCATTTTAGAAAAATAAAGGTATCTTTGGTAACACTTTGGTGTCCACAACCGTGTCTCTGCTTTTCCTATTAAATTCATTGACATACACAAACCTGTTGTTTTGTTCCACAAGGGTAACTAAGCTAAGAACAGCCTATATTCCCTTTTTCTCCCTGTCTTGTGTCTCAGGTTCGAATTGCTATGGAAGGAATCAATGGGACAGTTGGTGGAAGCAAATTGGCTACCAGACTTTATGTGGAAGTCATGCTTTCTTGCCCATTTTTTAAGGATTATCTGTTTAAGGATGATTTTAAGGTAAGAGAAAATGAAAATAAAATGGTTCTAGAGCCATCTGCTTCTGCTTCAATGCAGGTTATTGAAGAGGAGGTCAGTGTAGAGAAATAAACAGTGCCATATAAATCACCTTTCCATTTAAATACCCTTCTCCCTTTAGGTTTCAAAGCAGGGCAATAGTAGCATTCTTGTCCTCATGGAATTCTATGTGCTCTTGGACAAGGTGGTGCCCTCTAGACCTCATTCTTCCTTCTTATAAAATAAGGATGTTATAGCTCACACGGTCTAGGACTCTAAAACTTGGACGCATTTGCTCACTTGAGAAACTACCTGGCTGTGGGGAATAAAGCTGTTGCTCTCACAGCTGAGCTGTTTGTTTGAGTGACTTTATGCTTTATCATAATAAGTTATAAGTTGATGCGGAATCCTTGTTGGTTTCATGTTGGCAATGATAAAAAAAAAAAAAAAAAAGAAAGGCCATTGCTCCAGAACAAAATCTAGATGTAACCACATGTTGGAATTGCTCAGTGGTGCTTCGTTTTATATAAATGGTTATAGCCAAAGAAACACCTTTTCAACTTAACATTCCTGCACATGATAGGTACACAATACATACTAATGTTGAATTATCTAGAATATTCTGGACTCTCTTTTTCCATTGAGATTTCCAATTTTTTCCCCCTAATTTGAGGTTTCTTTTTTAGAGTTGTGGGGTACATGTGAGGATTTGCTACATAAGTAAATTGTGAGATTTGGGTTTCTAGTGAGTCCTCCTCCCTAGTAGTAAATGTGGTACCCTAATTTGAGGTATCTTAAGACTTCCATTATCATTATTACAAAAGACCATAGTTCTTGTATTTGGCACTTGTTTTATACCTGGAGATGGGACAGGAAGACTGTATTCTGTTTTGTTTCTCATTGGCTAGACCAGCAAAGGAGGATCTCACTGTTTTCCAGAATTGCGTGTTGGTGTATTTGAAGAAATCGTGCCCATGGGGATCAGCCCCAATAAGATCTCCTACAAGAAGCCAGGTATGCTTGCTTTTAGAAGAAGAATTATGTTTTTCTTCATAGGGATAAAACTTAATATAAGAGAAACAAATAAGAAAGCTAGGCACTGTGATGCGCAGGAGTTCTGATGAATCCTCCTTCCAAAATAGCTGTGGGGTGACTGACATGGATCCATCTAGTGCTTAAACTGGTTCTCTGTGGTCCTATCAATTGAAGACTCTAGGTGACCTTAGTAATGGTGTGGCAAGGAGCTGTATTCTCTTTCCAAAGGTAGCAATCTGGGAAGAGTATAATTATTACTTGTAAATAGTTCATCAGCAGAATAGATCACACAGCCCTTTTGCTACAGGAGTCAAGCTGCTTTCAACACCAAAGCAGTTTTCAGTGTGCTGTAGAATGTTCTCTCTCCTTTTTCCCTATGGTAAATGATTGAAAGACATTTGTTTAGTAGAGTTTTTTGTTTTACTTTTACTGTGAAAATTAACAAAAATAGAGAAAATAGTGCAGTGAATGTCCATGTAGTTATCATGCAGCTTTAGCAGTTAACTAGTTTTTTTGTTGTTGTTGTTGGAGTCTCACTCAGTCGCCCAGACTGGAGTGCAGTGGCCGCTCCTGGCCACCACAGCCTCGCCTGCTGGGCTCCAACGATCCTTCCGCCTCAGGCTTCTGAGTAGCCAGAATTACAGGCATGCGCTACCACGCCCGGCTGATTTTTTTTTTTTTGATTTATTGTAGAGATGAGGTCTCGCTACCCAGGCGGGTCTCGAACCCGCGGGCTCAGGCAATCCACTCACCTCAGCCTCCCAAAGGCGTGGGATTACAGGCTGAGCCACCGAGCCCAGCAGCAGTTAACTAATTTTATGGCCAGCTCTCACCTATACCTTGTCCTCTTCTCCTATCTTGTATTATTTTGAAGGGAATCCCAATGTCAGGTCATTTCATTCACAAATAGTTGAGCAGATATCTCTAAAAGATCATTTGTTTAGAAAACGTAAAGCTATTATCACACCTAAAACATTTTAACAGTAATTTCTTAATATATTATCAAATATCTAGGCAGTTTAGTCAGTCAATTCCCAGTTTTCTCATAATTTTTAAATTTTGTTTCCATTAGGATTCAAATAAGGCCCATTTATTGTGATTTAGCAATATGTCTCTTTAATTGTCTTAATCTATAGATTTGCCTTCATCTTTTTTTCTCCCCCTTGTACTTTTTTTTAAAGGAACTGGGTCATTTAGCCTGTAGCGTTTTTCATAATCTGGATAATACTAATTGTATCTGCATGATATATTTCTCCATCTTCTTTATTTTCTACAAATTGAATTTAGAGTAGTGCTAATAAAATGTGAGCAACATAATGTAGTTTCACATTTTCTAGTGGCTGTGTTTTTAAAAACAGATGAGATTAAATAATATTCTTTACTTAATACAGCGTTACCAAAATATTATCATTTCAACATGTAATTGTTATAACAAATTATTAGTAAGATAGTTTACTTTTTTTTCCTACTAAGACCTTGAAATCAATATGTGTCTTCCAAACCACATGTCAAATGCTTTTAAGCCACATGTGGCTAGTGGCTACTATATTAGGCAGCTGAGGACTAGAGTCTTTATCAGATTCCAATTTTATTCCTTTTTTCTTCTCTTTTCCTCCCAAACTACTTCATGGGTAGTGTAAACTTTCATCAGAAAGCACAAAGGTCTAGTTGATTCCATGGTATTCATTTTTGAATATGTAAGTATTTAAAAGAAGGCTAAGAGCTAAGCCAGAGAGAAATGGGAGCATACAAGCATCTGGGAAAAGAGACTCGTGGGAAGATGGGGGCCAAAAGGGGCTGTCTGCTTTGTGTCCCCATTTTAGCAGGGGCAGTATGACCTCAAGCAGTTCTTCCTGGGCATTATAGGACATTGCGGGGGAGAGTGGACTGCAGGCAGTGTTGTTCTGCTTTCATTTGAACTAAGTTATTTAAAGGGACCTCTTTCAAACACGTCTTTGCGGGTCACTATCCAAACAGGCCTTCCCAGGGCCAGTAGTACAACAGCAGTGATACCTGTAGCAGGGAACAGGTTTGGTTCCCTGTGACTCCCTGTAAGTAGATGTTTTAGCAGAGTTCCTCACATAGAGTCTGGCCTTGTTGTATTCTCCTTATAATCCTAGATTAGGCAGGTAAAAATCAGGTTCCTTGGCCAGGCTCTGGGGCCTAGTCTCTCCTTGGTGTGGAGCAGTTTCAGGTGGTTGTTGAGGTTCCTTCCTAATGGAATTAGGCTCCTTTGGTGTTGTAAAGTTCTGTCATGAGTGGTGGGAAATTGAGTCATCAGAGCCCATGAGGCATGGCTAGCCCACAGTGCAAACTCACTGAAAATTCCTCACAATCTACTGAGATGTCTGGACCCCCCAGAGATACAGGAATGTTTCTGTCCTGAAAATTCACAAGACTTAGGGTCCCTACCAGAATAATGTTCTCTTTTTAGTTCAGTTCCCTTGTATTTTCTCTCCTCCATCTTCTAGTTTCTCTGTCCTTTTCTTTTACTCATGCTCACACACTTAGACACATTCTCTTTGCCCTTTTGCATTAAATATATATATATTCCATTTTTTCCACAAGTTTATGCTCATACTTGCCTATGCCAGGGTTATTAGCCTTGAACATGGACTTGACCCTTGGTATAGGACAGTTTACAAAGTTAAGCACATACATGCCCAGCTTCTCTGAGATACTGGCTCTTTTCTATCCAAGTATGAGAATGCAAAATTCTTGGGCTGATTATTTCTCCATAGTCCTCATCTTAGGAGGAAGAAGATTGAGGATACCTGTAATTACTAAATTATTTCATCGTCATCATCAAATAGTGTTATTTTCAGACAATTGTAATTATGAGGGGAAGAGATTTGGGTGGAAAGAAACAAAGTAACATGTAAGTCAAGCTAGACCAATTGTGATTACGTTTTGAATTTTTTTTGTTCTTGTTTTAACCCAATTTTTTTGGTTTGGCTTTAGGAATCCATTTATCACCAGGTGAATTTCATAAAGAAGTAGAAAAGTTTTTATCTCAGGCAAATCGACAACAAAGTGATACTATCCTTCTGGATTGCAGAAACTTCTATGAAAGCAAAATAGTAAGTAAGCTAGAATTGAGCTCTGAATAGGTAGAACCCCCCTTTTCCGTAGCATGGCATGTTTCCCAAGGGCATACTGTGCGTGCCTACCTGTGGCCATATAGATCTCCTTTCAGTACTAGCAGCTTCAAGAAAACCCAAGCCCTTGAACTCAGGATTAAGTACATCACAATATAGTTTTTGACTCCTGTGTGCCTATTCTTGACATGTGTCAAGGATCTTGTAAATCTACCTGTGTACAACCTCTCTGGTTCCCCTGAAGACTCTGTGGGAAGGTGATGCATAGCCTACCAGCCTGTTTTAAATTCTAGATCTTAAAGTTGAAAGGTCAGAGTGTGGGATGAGCACAACAACTGGCAAGTGCATCTTTGCCAAGGTGGGGGTTGTTTGACACAGAACTTTGTTCCTACCAGCTGTATTTTTCTGATAATTTTTCTTCTGCTCCTCCTATATCATAGGGACGATTCCAGGGCTGCTTAGCCCCAGACATCAGGAAATTCAGTTACTTCCCCGGCTACGTTGACAAAAATCTAGAACTTTTCAGAGAGAAGAGGGTGCTGATGTACTGCACCGGGGGCATCCGTTGTGAGCGGGGTTCAGCCTACCTCAAAGCCAAGGTGAGCCACCACCCTTGGTGCGCTGTTGGCCTGGCGGTAAAGAAGGCTCCACCAACAGCCTGTTTGGACCCTTGTGCTCTTCCCCCCTGACTTCCCCCACCCACAGCCAGCCAAAGGATTTATCTTCCCCTTGTATGGCATAGAGTCTGTAAGCATAAAATTTGAGGTTATTTAAAAACTGCTGTACATGTTATGTACAAAACTGGTTTATGCCACATGAACAGAGAATCACAAGTTTAGTTTTGGTACTTTTTTTCCTCTTTGTATTCAGTTGTATAGAACTTCCAAATTCAGAATGAAAAGAAAGCTGTTCTGTATCAAACCATCTAAGCAATAAACATTATATTTTAAAAGTGGCAGATTGCCAGTAAATTAATAAATAAAATCTGAGGCTCTTTAATCTCAAGATGTGAAAACACTTAATGGTCTTAGAGACTCATTAACTATAAAAGGGAAAGATTAGTTAGCATCTCCCTTTTCCAATCCTTTTGCTTGATCCTGAGCAGAGCAAATTCAGTAATGTTACATGTCCCAACAGGTGTCTTCCTATATTTAGGGGCGGCAAAAATAGTTGGGCTTCCCAGGATCTAGAGGGTGAAGGCCCTGCCTGCTGTCATCGCCCTTCCCCCTAGGAGGTGAGGTCTGGCCTGTTGGTACCTTGACCCCTTGGTCAGCAGTTCCTCAGTGCCCCACAGGGGGAGCCAGAAGCCCCTGGCTGAGAGCAGAGGCCACAAGTCCTCCACTTGGGCACTTCGCGCCACACACTGCTCCACGGAGCTTCATGACAGGTTTCTGCTTTACTCTTCAGATTTCCTGTTGTTTTTCCACACCTAGGGAGTATGCCAGGAAGTGTTCCAGCTCAAGGGTGGCATCCACAAGTACCTGGAAGAGTTTCCTGATGGTTTTTACAAAGGGAAGTTGTTTGTTTTTGATGAGCGTTATGCCCTGAGCTACAACAGTGATGTGGTGTCAGGTAGGTCCACAGGTCCAGAGCCCAGACTGAACCGGGCTGTCATCAGTTCACCATTTGAGAGAAACTGCACAGGGAAGGCAGGCCAGTGTGAATTACTGGAGAAGAAACAGGGAGAAGAATGGGAGGTGCAGCAACGCAGCAGACCTACAGCCTTGGACCTGGCTTCACCATTTGCCAGCTGGACATGGGGATAATTTCACCTGACCTCCTGCCTGTCAAAAGCTGGACCAACAGGCTAAATCAGGGGTCTTAATCTGGAATTGGTATAAATTCAGGGGTTCTGAGAATTTGGATGGGGAAATAATTACGTCTTTGTTTTCAATAATTCTCCACTAAAATGAAGCATTTTCTTCCATGAATTTAGGCAATAAACTAGTTGTATTAAGGTACCTGTGACTCTTCAGTAGAATTCACGGTACTTTCAGATCATGTTGCCTGAGATATCTCAAAATAGCATTTATACTCATCACTGCTTCAAAATGGAAACAATTAGGCCCACCACTAAGAGTTGTTATTTAATGTGTTAGTAAATAGCGCCTATCTTATATATTATAGATTTTGAAAAATACTTTGATATTTTGTATTTCTACATCATTAGTTTCCTTTGTAATCCTATGTATTTTATTTTATGCTTTTAGAGATATTTTTCTAAGGCAGGGTCTGTAGTCTCCGGACTGCCAAGTTAAATCCATGGCACAAAATAAGAGTAAGAACCCCTAGTTTAGCTTTTCTGGGTGGACACATTAGCATGCACATTTTGAGTGGCGGGTGGGCATTCCAAGATGAGAACTGAACCTAGGGCCAAGGCCAGAGGCAGAGTGGCCACAGAAAGCCTGTGGTTTGACAGCAGTGTTGAACCCATACTGAAGTGTGATACCAGATGAGAGCAGTTAGTAAAAGAGGGCTGGATATAATCCTCCAAAAAGATAGCCCTTGTCACTGTTTGGAATGGGTTAGGTCATAGATAACATTAGTGGCTGCTGCAATTTTCTGTAACTCCTGTGATCAGGGACTGAGGTTGAATTACTTCTCAGTTAATTAGTAAGATTTGAGTTTGATTATTCTCTCTCCTTAGTCTTTTTATTCCTTTTAGTTTATTTATTGAAATGTATTTAGTCTCTTACTGACAATGACTTAGGGTCTGTCTTGGAGCTAGATGGAGTGAATTTGATTTTACCAAGGAAATAGTGGCTGGACTTGATGGGTACTTGTATGTGAATGTGAAGGAGTGAGAAGGCACAAAGGTAGCCTAGATAAGCAAGATAAGGAGAAGTGAAGAATGATGTTATCAGTGGTAACAGAAAGTCAGCAGGGGAAAACAGAAAGAAGATAGTGTGAGTTTTAGGAATCAGGTAGCCAAGTATCCTAGCAACAGCAGGAGGGACTCTGGCTTTGAGGAGAGGGATGCAGCCTGCAGGAAGTTCAACATGGGTGTGTTATCTTCTGTATGCAGGTGTGTTGTCCTCACTGGGAAGGGGAATGATCTGAGGGGAAAAGACCATTTAAAAAGGAGGGAAGGTTGACCAGCTTCAGAATAGCTGATGAAGAGAAAAACATTACCACCTGTTTCCTATATGGGCAAAAGAAAAATGGATCAGTGAATACCGGAATCAGAAAGACATTTTCAGAAGCAGCCTCCCCAAAATAAGGCTGATTTGGGGGAGTGGTTGTTGTAGAAGACAGCGGACTTGGTATTTAGAAACCCTCCCAGGCTCAACAGGATATATTAGATTCTGGTCAGGTTTATATTTAAGAACTGGAGAAATACCTGCTTCTGTATGTGTGTTTATAACAAAGGCTTTCTTCCCCAGAATGTTCATACTGTGGAGTCCAGTGGGACCAGTATAGACTCTGCTCGACTCCCCAATGCCGTCAGCTTGTTTTGACCTGCCCTGCCTGTCAAGGACAGGGATTCACAGCCTGTTGTGTCACATGTCAAGACAAAGGGAGCAGGAAGGCTTCAGAACCTACTCAGGACAGCTTTAAAGAGGAATGTGAGTGTACAGCCCGACGGCCACGCATACCTAGGGAACTCTCGCAACATGTGGGACTCCCTGAGAGTCCAGAGCTGGAGCCTGATGTTGGTGAGGATGGGCCATTGCACCTTCGGCATTTCTCCAAGCCATCAGTAAAAGGTAGTTTAGAGTGACAGTCCAGAATAACATCATGGCTGCAGAAACAGAGAAATCGGGAACTTCAGTGCTGACCAGTACTTCCATGGCAATCTGGTCACCATATTGGCCACCTACACTTCATGGTGGAGGGGAAAGGGAGTCAGGTGTTAACCACTTACCTGACGTATTCTGATCAGAAGATGCTAGAACACAGATAAATGGTAAGCAATATGGGATCCTACAGCTGGTGAGGAAGAGAGCCTTGAGCTCGGTGACTGCATTATGCCCGTTCTCTGCTATGCAGCAGGACTGTTGATAGTCATTGCACTTGTCAGCAAACCCATCTGTCCTGGGGGCAAATGTGAAAGCTGTGACCCTGGGAGAAGACTCCTAAACTGAGCCACTCAGGTCAGCTGGCATCCAGCCCATGTTCTGTCTCTTTGCTGACAGCCTGAGGGGCCTGCAAGTTGTAGCATTTGGCCTATGTCCTGCTTTTGTAGATACAGTCACCCCTTGGTGTACCCACGGGATAGTTTCTGAGTGCCTGAGTATACCAAAACTCTCTGTGTACTCAAGTCCCACGGTGGGCCCTGCAGAACCTGTATGTAAGATAAATCAGCCCTTCATATGTGTGGGTTTCACATCCTCTGATTTCTGTATTTTCAATCTGCATTTGGTTGAAAAATCCACATATAAGTAGACCCATGCAGTTCAACCCCTTGTTGTTCAAGGGTCAACCGTACAGTTTATTGGAACAGCCACACCCATTCCTTTGTATATAATCTATGGCAGAATTGAGTGGTTGCGACAGACCATGTGACCTGCAAAATCTGAAATATTTACTGTCTGGCCTTTTATAGAAAAGTTTGCCAACCCCTGATCTCGGGGGGAGATGACCTTAAAGATGTGACCTTCATTTTTTACTGATTTAGTTTGTGTGAGAGAATTTGTCTAATATTCCTGCTTCCCCCAATAGTCACTCTCCAAACTTTAAATTGTTCTCTTTGAGAGATTCAAATAAACTAGATGACAGACAATGAGCCGAGGTTTTTAGATGAGCACCCGGGATACATGACATTCTTACTGAGGTTATCCAGCATTGTCATTGTGGCTGCCTGACCTTCTGGCCAGGCACATGTTCCTGTCACCCAGGTCCCAAGAAACACATACACAACCATACATAGACCAACAGATTTAATATTACGTTGCAGTTTCCAGTGATGCAGAATGCAGCTGCAGTTGTGTATCAAGGAGAAGCCGAGTGGGATGGTTATCCCTGCAGCATGGTGCCACTCCTGGACCATTTTCAGCCTCAGTGGACACTCCCATAGTGCTGAGGCCTTGGCTCTGCCTCCAGTTACCCTGTACTGCCCACATCCTTAGAGCTCACTGTGAAGGCCTTTGCCTTTTTCATCAACAGCCTCTCTGCTCAGTGCTCTGCAGCTCTTTGGCCTTGTCCTTTATGTATCATGAGATTTGCTGAATCACTAATGAAATTACTCCCCAAAGCAACAAACAAATACTAATTTAACTGGCACTGTGGTATTTTAAAAGGCACAAGGGCATTATGGCTTAACACTTTTGCTAGATCCCAAGAGATGCACATGATGTTAAAAAGGGATGTGGCAGAAATACCAAAATTACATTTTCAGAGTAATCATCTTGGGGTGGTTTGGACAAGATTTCCTAATTCTTTAATATCTGGATTTTCTTCACCTGTTGTCTTAATTTATAGGAATGAGATCGCAGTGATTTGTCTAATAAGTGACTAGATAGATAGCTGAAGTCTGTAAGCTTGGCCATACTAAATACCATAGCCATGATGAACTGGAAACGGATCCCTCTCGCAGTGGCCTCATGTAAGTTGTTTGCCCACTGTGTAGTACACAAAGGTGTTTTCAAGTATTTGGCCACATCTGTCATAAGCTTGGCATTCACTAGGGAAAAATTATTTGACTCTAGTATTAGATTGTAAATAAGTCCCAAATGTTCTTAAAGAACACTCAGGGATATGTTTGTTGCCTGGGATTGGTAAGGAAACGATGGTTTTTGAAACCTGAAGTTTCACCATTGGTTTTTTCCTATCATTTTCTCATGTCCAGCAAAAGGAATCTTGTGTCCTTTATTCCTGTCAGAGCTCTGTGGCTTTAGTGTATCTTTCTTGAGGGGAAAATTGTGTTCTTGATCCAGTAATTAATTTGTTAACTTTAGTCTTGAGGGTTTTAAAATTTAAAGAAGGGTTAATAAAGAATGATAATCTGTTTTATTTGCTGAATAAGATCAACTTTGTAATAAAGTATTTTCTAATTTCTAAACCATGTGAAAGAGTGTACGGTTTGCTTTTGTGTTACACACTTTTAATACATCACACAGCAAGGCCACTGAGACTGGGCTCCTGGGACTAAGTCACTGCCACTATAGATAGCATCATCTTCAGTAAGATCTGCTGGTTTGAGGGCTTCTAAGTTTTCAAATAATAATCAGACTGAACTTCTGTGACTAAAGAAAAACTTCACATTAACCATATCTTATAAAATTTTTAACTACAACCACTAGTTAATCTAAAACCTTAGTGCATAAAGAACTGAACCACAAAAGGGTTTTGTGCCGGCATTTTGCCTTCTGGTTTCTACTGCAGAGCATAGGTAGTCAGTAAAGCACGTCCAGTTCAAAGGCATGGTCTTCACCTCCACATGCTAGACGCCACTCCGGCACTTGGGAATGATGGGCCCGGTTAGGTCTGCCAGCCTCCTCTTCCTCACTGGAAAGAAATGAGAAAAGATAAAAACCAGTTGTCCTTGTAGACCAGGAACCACCACTGTCATTCTGAGAAAGCACTGTGACACCTCCCGCTAATTTTTTAGCAGAGTCTGAAGTCTGTGTTGTATGACAGCCCTCCAGTTTGTCAGTGTTCACTGATGAGAGTCTGTGGTAGTGTAGATTCACCCAGAAATTTCTAAATGGTTGACCATAGTGTCCCACTCTCCCAACTTGACTTTTTCTTTTGCCTGCAGAAGCTCCATGCATGAAGATCTTTACTCTGATTCAGCTACAAGTTAAAAGTTCAGTGGATCTTAATGAGATAAGAGTCTTAACCTGGTGGAAACATTTCTCCCAACTCTGCCTGGGAGCTCCTGGCCTGCCTCCTGCCTGTATAAACAAGTTTCCACCCTGAAGATTACCCTGCACTATCCCCTTTTAATCTTGCCTTTTCGGAAACCAGGGGCACGACAATTTATGTTCAAACATTGTTCACATACAAGGTAGTTAAATGCCATCATGAGGAAAGCACTAGCCAGAAGTTTGCAAGCTGGAGATGTTAGCTTAGAGGATGACTGAGGGTGGGGGAAGGACCAGAAGATGGTCCCTGTGTTGTAACAAGGGAGAGTGTTTTGGAATGAATTACAGTGTCCATGGATGAAGATCAAGCAGCAAGCTGGATCAGCCACAAGAGAAAGAAAGGCCAAAGAAGTCTGCAGAGCCGGTAGGTGGCAGTCAAGGGGCCTGCTGGTGTGGCAGAGAGGAAGCCATTGCTGAGGGGGGAAAAAAAAGTCTGTCTATACTTAGATGTCTTCAGGTTCCCGAGCTGAGGCAGTAGACCTGCGGCCACCAGATCGACGCCTACGAGCTGCAACAAGAACCGAATCAGCTTGTGCATGACACCGAGCAGACCCACGAGGGAGGTGTGTACTCAAGTTGTGGCTGGGAACTGTGGGGGACGTGGTTGGGGGCACACAGGTCTGGGGCCTGCAGTTCAACCTGTGCCTGAGTCTCTGCCCATCCCCCCACCACAGGTCCAAAGAATAGCCAATGTAAGTCCCAGTGGGCAATCTGGGGAGAAGCCACAGTCCATCCCAACTCCTGGAGGCGATCAGAATGTCCAACAACTTGAGAATAGAAGTGGGGAAGCAAAAACCAAAACCCAAAGAGTAGAAGAGGTTTGTCCAAGTGACCAGAGGGTTTACATAAACCAGACTTGTAAGGATCTCCCTGTTAGCTGTGCAAATATGCCCAGCTGGGCAGTCCTCAGTACCTCATTGGAGCCCCTCGGAGGCTTCTGGAATGTTCATGTTACCATTCCCATTTTAGGAATAAGGAAAGTGTGGCAGGGGTATGCTTCTTGCTTAGAGCATCAAAGCTAGTAGCAGACAGAACCAAGGCATGTGACTCATCTTGAGCCTCAGTCCAGTGCCTTCCTCGGTACAATGCGGCCTTGTCTGTGCAGGGTCTACAAATCCATATCTCATCTGATTCTCACAGGAGGGATTAGCTCCTTTTTCCCTAGAGAAGAAGAGGCATGGTCCCTGAGAGCTAGCGGCAGGGCTAGGACTGAAACTCAAGTCTCTGGGCCAAGGCTGAGGGAACAGAAAGGGGCCCCATGGTTTTCGTGTGTGTTTTTTTCCATTACTTGCCCACCCTGTACATGGGGCTGGATCTGTGTACCCAGTTCCCCTAGTACTGGCTTTTACATGGACTGGATGAGAAGAAGGAAAAGGCATCTATTTACTCAGGTGTTGTTTTCTCCCATTTAAGATGAAAGAAGTTGAGGCTGAGAGAGGGAAGAAGCTCGCCCCAAGTTATGATGAATAGATAACAGAACTGGGAGACGAAGCCAGGTCTCCCCAAATCCTCCTTCAACTCTGTTTTTTTTTTACTTTGTTTAAATTCGTTTCTCATCATCGCAACAGCCATAGACTTGTCTATTGTTAGAGCCGGAAGGACTCTTCATGCCTCTGGATCACCCACCTCTGCTTCCTCTGCTCCGTCTGCCACTTCTTGCCAAGAGTGAGCCCTTCTCTCATGTCTTTAGGAAGCACTGACTATTCGTTTATATATTCAGCAGCATTTACTGACTGCTATTATGTGCTTGGCACAAGAATCAGAGATACAACATAATGGGACCAAAATACACAAACAATGTTTGATAAAATATTACAGGTATCCTGGCAAGTATCTGTGAGGTATGAGAGGAATAAGGAATGAAGTGGTCAGGTCTTCCCAGGATGGACAGAGAACAGGTCAGCTGAATCTTAAACAATGAAGAAGTAGAGGATGAGAAGGTTGGGAGGAGGCATTAGGAGTAAGGGACCTCTAAAGGTAAGCTGGGTCACTTGAGGGCACTCGAGCTACCTGAAATGGTACTAATATGGCAAGAGGATGGCTGGTCAGGGGTGTCAAGAGCTGAGTCTCATCACCCCATCAAGAGATGACCCCTGACAGGACCGTCTTTTGATGAGGTGGAGAGCAGGGGCTCTGGAGCCAGACTGCCAGTTCAAATCCCAGTCCTGCCCACCGATTAGGGGTAACTTTACCTACTCCTCCACACCTCTGGCTCCTTACTACAAAATGAAGGTAATAATAGCGCCTCAATAATAACCAGTTGTGGGGAGCATTGCATGAGTTAGTAAGATGGGAAGTGTCCAGAACTGTCCCTGACACATGTAAGAATCAGCTACAATTTAAGGAACTTGGGAGCCACGCTGAGTCTAGCCCGATGTAATGGGAGCCCACTCAGGGTTCTAAGCAGAGGAGTGGTAAGGTCAGTTTCAGGAGGGACTTGGGCTGAGTGCCAGAGGTGCCTGCCCTGGAAGAGCAGGAGGACTGAGGAAGGTGTAGGAGGCCAGGTGAATGGGATGAGGGCTCAACATGAGGCAGGGCACTGGGATTGGTGAGGAGGTGACTGGCCGACTGGGGTTTGAGTGGCTGTGAGGAAAGGAATACCCTTTCCTGAGACAGTTTTGGGGGGAATATAATGAAATTAATTATGCAGTTCCAACAATTCCAATTCTAAATATTTACCCAAAATATTTAAAATCAGTTCATCCCCACGTTCACTGCAGCACTATTCACAATAGTCAAGATATGGAATCAACCTAAGAGTGTCCACCAACAGATGAATAGACACAATGGAATACTAGTCAGTCTTTTAAAAAGAAGGAAATTAGGTTATTTGTGATAACATAGATGGAAATGAATATTATGCTAAGTGAAATAAGTCAGGCACAGAAAGACAAATTACATGTGAAATCTAAAACAATCGAACTCGTAGCAGCAGAAAGTAAAATGGTCGTTACAGAGACTGGGGTGGTGGGGAAACGGGGAGATGTTGGCCAAAGGACACACAATCTCAGCTGGACGGGAGGAACAAGGGTTGTTTTTCAGACCTAGTATACAGCGTGGCGAATATAGTTAATGACAGCATACTGTACATTTCCATGCTAAGTGTAAATTTCAAATGTTCTCATCACAAAAAAACACACACAATGAAGTATATGTTCATTAGTTTGATTTAATTATTCCACTTTTTTTTAAGTTGAGAAAGCAAGATTTATTGAGAGGATAGAAAAGCTATCTGAGGGTGTTGCCGTGTATTCTTAATTATAACATCTTTGTATTCCATAAGTACTTTACAATTTTCAATTTACAATAAAGACGTTTAAAGAATTGCTTTGAGGTGTGCTGCTTTTAAGCACATTGCTTCCCCTCCACACTTCACCAAACCCCACTCCATACAACTGTCTTAACTTGGAGGCTGTGATTCAGATTTTGTGGATAGAGTAGCAGCGGCAGATAAGAAGACCGGGGAGCCATGCTTAGCCTAGCTCTTAGCTATAAATAGTGTGGAGATGGGAGTCATCTGAGGTATTGCTGGAAAAGTGCAATGGGGATCCACAGCTCAGCTCCTCCTTGACCACCCCCCCCACCCACACACCCTGGCGCCCCGCACTTAAACACAGAACACTCTACTGAGAGATCGTGCACAGGGTGGGGAGGACAAAAACATGCACCGGTCGGGATGGGTCCCGGGCAGGCTGCCTCTGTGTAGAGGCAATGGCTGACCCAAGGGACTTGGGGACTGAACTCTTCCCAAGAGGGAGCACACCCGTCAGCCTCGCAGGCAGGCAAGGACCTTCCTAATCTGCGCCCCCTGCTGCCCGGCCTGCAGCAGTACAGCTACTGCTAACCTCGTGGGAAGGAGCTGGCAGGAAGCTTTTAAGATACAGATATTCATCTGGGAAATATGGAAGCCTGTCTGCCTCACTGTAGCATTGAAAGCAAGATAAAAATACCATGCTGCAAAGAGAGTCAGGAGGAAGCTGACACACCCTCATAAACAGAAGCATTGCTCTTAGGAAAATCAGCGAATGGGCACAAAAGAGGATTTGAAAGCTAGAAATCCTGCATCACCAGCTAGCACTCTGAGTGTTGCCTGTAAAAACTGAGATGATTTTTATCTAATTCCTTCTGTGGGAAACCCCAAGGGAGCAGCTGCACTCAGTTCCCAGGGGAAAGCCTGAGGCCCATTTTTATCACCTGGCATCGCTGTCCGGGAAACTGCCAAAGTTCCCACTTCCCACCTGCTTCCCCTGCCAGACTCCTGAGCGTGGCACTGAAGGCCTTGGGACACAGGCTCTCCAACACCTACCCAGCCCCGTTCCTTGTGAACACCCCACACACTGTCTACTGTCCTGTCTTTGTTCATACGGTTCCCTCTGTTTGGAATGCCGTTCCCTCCTTTCTTTGCGGACTATTTTTACTTCTAGGCCTAACTCCCTACTACAGTTTCTCCAATCCTTTTAAATCTGTCTCTCCTATCCTGTATACTGGGCCCTGCCACCTTGCCTTTGTACACCTCAGTACCTCTTTCCCAATACTTCCTAGAATCCTTGCAGGAATGCTTCCCGACCTACTCCATCAACTCATCTCTTTTCTTCAAAGCTGGCCAAAGTCCCATTCCCAACCAGGATGCTTTGTCTAACTAGCTTCTGTCCTTGTAAATCATTTCCTCACTTTGTTTGGATAGAACTTCTAGGCATTCTTGAATTTAAAACCCTTCAGGCTTTTATTCCCCTAAAAGGTTGAAAGCTTCTTGAGTCAGATAGCACAACTTCTGCTATCTTTTATATCTCTTAGCATAGTCCTGGACACACAAAAGTCGCTCAGCAAATGCTTGCTATAATCAACAACTGGTGTTACCTGACTTCACCACTGTCTAGACCCGTACCCCACCCCAGGCTCCGCTGTCTCTCTAAGGGATTTGGGGAGATGAGCTCTAAGTCCCTTCTAGCTCTAGACTCCTACAGTGGCTTCTGAGAGTCCTTGGTGTTGGGAGTCAGGCCTGAATTTTGGAATCTCAAAATCTCAGGATTGCAAGAGTTCTCAAAGGTTATTTTGTCCAACTCCTAGATAATTCTGGTATCCCCTGCAGCATCCCTGACCTCTAGTCAGCTAGAACCTCTGTTTCCAGAAGGAAAAAAAAAAAAAAAAAGACCTCCAGACTATTATACCATTAAAAGATAAAAGCGGGGTTAGCCCAGAGATAGTCACCGATGGCACATAAGAAGCTTAATCTGGTCAGGTGCAGTGACTTATGCCTGTAATCCCAGCACTTTGGGAGGCCGAGGACAGAGAACCCTTGAGCCCAGGAGTTCAAGACTAGCCTAGGCCACATAGCAAGACCTCATCTCTACAAAAAAAAAATAAAAAATTAGCTGGGCATGTGGCATGTGCCTGTAGTCCCAGCTACTCAGGAGGCTGAGGAGGGTGGATCACTGGAGCCCAGGAGGTCAGGGCTGCAGTGAGCTGTGATTGTGCCACTGTACTCCAGCCTGGGTGACAGAGTGAGACCCCAACTCAAAAAATAAAACAAAAAATAAATAAGTAGAAGCTTAATCTAAACTGGGAGGGGAAAAATGTGAGGTTGAAGTGTTGGTTCTGCTGCTAGATCACAGCTGGCCTTCTCCAACAATTCAGTTTTGCTATCACTCGTGATATGATTGTCATAATTATGATTCTTAGTTATTTGTGTCTGCTCTTATTTTATGTCAAATAAGGGCACTTCCTATTCATCAAGACACTGGGCATGTTTTTTTAAATGGACTTTTTAACACCTAAGGATCTAGAAAAAGAGGGATACCTGGAGCGAGCAATGAAGGGATAGTCCCTGGGCTGTGATATCCTTAAGAGCAGGGACTTACATCACTAGCATTTATAGTGCCTTATAGGACTTTGACAAATGTTTGTGGAACTGAGTACTACTCAGTCTAAAGTGGGTTAAGTGTCTGGAGCTCTGTGGCTATTCACGCATGTAGGGTCTGTGTGCATTTGCCTTGAATACCTCTACCCACACTCTCCATTCTTTGAGGCCTTCCATATCTTAGCTCAGGTAAATCACCAGGAAGTAGAAGTGGCATACTCTGAATGGAGCATAAGCATTAGACTCTTTGCATTGTATTGAGGGTTGAAAACCAGAAGGAGCCATTGTGTAGAGCAGGTTTGGATTTGATGAAAAACTCACTGAAGACACTGTCCTTTAAAGCAGCAGTTGCTAACCTTTTTGGCATCAGGGACCAGTTTCATGGAAGACGATTTTTCCAGACTGGGGGGCAGGGGAGGATGCTTTTGGGGTGATTCGAGAACATGACATTTATTGTGCACTTTATTTCTATTATTACTACATTGTAATATACTATGAAATGATCATACACCACAAAAAAAGAGGCATGGATAGAAGTGGTAAATAAAATAATGGGTGGGTCACACACAGACTAAAATAAGTTTTGGATTCTGACTTAAAGCCTTCCACAAGATGCAGCTGTACAATTGAAGTTCATCAACTCAATTGCCACTTACTGATAGGGTTTTTATATGTCTTCAGGCAATTGACTTATTATGTTCTCTGTGCAGTCAGATCTTAATGCTACTGTTAATCTGTATGTGCAGCTGCTCCCCAGTGCTAGCGTCACTGCCTCAGCTCCACCTTAGATCATTAGGCATTAGATTCTCATGAGGAGCACAAAACCTAGATCCCTCACATGTAAAGTTCACAAGAGGGTTTGAACTCCTATGAGACTCTAATACTGCTACTGATCTGACAGAAGATGGACCTCAAGTGGTAATGTGAGCAATGGGAGTGGAGGTAAATACAGATGAAGCTTTGCTCACCTGCTGCTCACCTCATGCTCTACGGCCTGGTTCCTAACAGGCCACAGGCCATACTGGTTTGTGGCCTGGGGGGCTGGGGATGCCTGCTTTAAAGCATATATTTATTTCATTATTTAATCCCAGAAGGAAGCATTTTCTCTTTTCAAACTCATTATGCTTCCTTCTCTTCTGTGATAAGAATAACATCACTTGGCTTGTCTTCCTCTTGCCTTGGTTCTAGAAAACTCAGGGCTAAATATAATCATCCATCATAACTCTGCTTTTCTTGTTTTTTCCCCCCCTTTGTTTTTCTACAGACTTGTCAATCATACACCCTTTATTATATGCTACATCAAATTCTTTTTAGCAGCCAGCAGGGATATATAGAGTCAACAACCACACAGAGCTTGTGAGCAATTGGCATCTGCAAGGAAGCTAATGATTGATCTCACTTTTCATTCAATTGACTTGTATGCTTATTTGATGTATGTTCATCATCAAAGAAAACCTGTGACATTTTATTTATTTTTATCTTTAAAAAAAAAATCAAACTATGCCTTTAACTGAGATTAATGTAACCGGCTTTTACTTTACTATGAAGTTGACATTTTCAACTTTAAAAATCAACATGAAGGCTCCTAGGCTCTGGCTTTTGGTTGTAGTGTTGGTAGGTGGCTTTGGGATTTGGGCCTAAAACCAGACTGTATGACCTGGAGATGACTCCATGAGTCTAGGAAAAGGCATTCAGAAGAGGGAGAGACTCATGGGGAGCCTTATGCAGCCCCCCACCGCCAGTTCCATTTCTTTCTGTTAACCTGCAGAGTATGTTCTGGGCCCAGCCTTTGCTGAGCTGTGCAGTGGCAGGAGAGAACTTAGCCTTAGCTCCTGATGTAGGGGAGCTCACAGTCCAGGAAGGAGACAAGGCACAATCTCAGAAAACAAGGAAGATGCGATCGATGTGAAAATCAGGAGTTAGGCTCAAGAAGACTTGGAGAGGTGCCAGTGGGATTTTTCCCTGACATCCTCAGCACAGGTAAGGGGGAATGACAGGCAGGTGGGCAGGGCAGGAAGCACATTTTCACTCACCAAGGTCATTGTTGTTCATCATTGCGTTGGATGCCCGAAGCCGGGGGCCCTGCTGGGTAAAGTGGTAGCCGAATTTGAGAAGCGTTGTGTTTTTTTCCAGCATGCTCACGATCTCCATTTCCACTTTGTTGCCCAGGGGCTGGCTCTTTGGTAAAGGAAAAAAAAAAAAATCCTCACCACTCAGTCCATGTGTGCAGTTGCTAAACCACCTCTACATGCAGAAACTCTGAGTAGTGGGGAAGGATTTTAGCCTCCCTCCCAAGAAGAGGGTAGAAATGAAAGGTTAGAGAAGATGAAGGGTCACACAGCCAGGAGCAAATAAGCTGGGATTCAAACTCAGGTCTGCTGGTCACCAAGAACAGATCTTTTCACTGCTCCACAGCAGTCTCTCTCAGAGCAGGTGTATGGGTAAGAGCTCCACTACAGAAGAGCATAGGAAGGAGAACTTCAAGTCATGTAATCCCAAGGACATTTAAAAAATCCTGCTGCCTGGGCTATACCCCACATTAATTAAGTCAGAATCTCTGGGGATGAATTCTGCTGGCTGTGTTTTTTTAAAACTCCCCAGGTGATTCCTAATGCAGCCAAGTTTGATAACCAGTAATTTAGACTAAGGTCTTCAATTTATGAATGAAGAAATGGAGGCCCAGAGAAGGAATAGGATTTGTCCAAGATCACACAGTAAGTTGGGAATGCCAGAGTTAGCTTTCTAAAGCCCCATTCTGATTGCATTAGTTCCCTGCCCCAAATCTGTAGTCATCAGCTGACAAAGATGAAACAAACAGACCAAAACATAGAAAGGTCTGAAAATACACAGTGTTGGGAAGAATAGAATGAGACTGTTCATCACAGTCTTGTTTATAACAGTGGAGGGAAAGGGAAACATACATTCATCAAGAGGAAGGTGACCAAATAAATGATAGTTCAATCTTAAAACAGAAAGTGGAAAGCTGTAAAATGATAGAATTTTTGGTCACAGGCATGGGAAGAGGGCCATGAAACAATATTGAATGGAGAAAAAAAAACTCTGGTCACAGAGTAGGTCATTTTTACATAAGGTTATCTATATTTTCCATATACATATATAAGGCATAGGAAAAACTTTGGAGTATATTGAAGGTAGTGGAATTTGGGTGAGTTTTTAAAAAA